CCCGCCCCCCTCCCGCGCCGCCGCCGCCGCGCCTCACACACTCACTCCCTCACTCACCCCGTGGTACACCAGGCCGAACGCGACGGCCGCCATGAAGACGGGGTGGGTCTGCTTGAAATAGGCGCTGGGGGCGCTCCGCGGGGCCGCCTCGCTCGACACCATCCTCAGGCCGGACTCCGCTCGCCGCGGGACTGACTGACGCGGGCCTGGAGCTAACCGCCGCCAAGACACGCCGGGCTCGGCCACGCCCCCCTGGGAGGGAAGGGGCGGGCGGGGATTGGACGGCGTCGGAGGGGGAGGCGTGGCCGCCCTCGCCCAACGTGGCGTTCCAAAACAGAGGCTAAGGGGAGGGGGAGAGGGGGGATTTTTGGCGGGAAAAGACGCGCAGGTTCCCTCAGGCGCGCGCCGCCTCCCCCCCCTCATTCCTCACAGGCGCCCTCGTGGGGCTTCTTTTGAGGGCAGCCGCGATCGTGCGTGTCTGTGTCGTCCCCCGCTCCTGCCCTGTGAATCCATTCTGGCTCCTCTCCATCTCCCTCAAGGTGTGTCTGGCACCCAGAAAGGAGCAGAAAATACTGCAGAGCGTGCGCACAAAACTGTAATAATTGTTGAAGGATACTTCAGCCATTGTGGAAGAAACAATTCAACAATTCTGAAGAGGAGAAGAAGAGGAGGAGGAGGAGGAGGAGATTGGATTTATCCCCCTCCCTTCACTACCCAAAGGAGTCTCAGGGTGGCTTACAAACTCCTTTCCCTTCCCCTCCCCACAACAGACAAAGACCCTGTGAGGAAGAAGAAGAGATTAGGTTTATTCCCCGCCCTTCACTATCCAAAGGAGTCTCAGAGTGGCTTACAATCTCCTTTCCCTTCCCCTCCCCACAACAGACAAAGACCCTGTGAGGAAGAAGAAGAGATTAGGTTTATTCCCCGCCCTTCACTATCCAAAGGAGTCTCAGAGTGGCTTACAATCTCCTTTCCCTTCCCCTCCCCACAACAGACAAAGACCCTGTGAGAAGAGGAGGAAGAAGAGATTGGGTTTATACCCGGCCCTTCACTATCCAAACGAGTCTCAGAGCAGCTTACAAACTCCTTTCCCTCCCCACAGCAGACACCCTGTGAGGAAGAAGCAGAAGAAGAGATTGGGTTTATACCCCATCCTTCACTATCCAAAGGAGTCTCAGAGCAGCTTACAAACTCCTTTCCCTCCCCACAACAGACACCCTGTGAGGAAGAAGAAGAAGAAGAAGAGATTGGGTTTATACCCCGCCCTTCACTATCCAAAGGAGTCTCAGAGCGGCTTACAAACTCCTTTCCCTCCCCACAGCAGACACCCTGTGAGGACGGTAGGGCCCAGAGAGCTCTGACAGAAACTGCTCTTTTTCAAGAACAACTACGGCTTGCCCAAGGTCATCCAGCAGCTGCAAGTGGAGGAGGAGCGGGGAATCAAACCCGGTTCTCCCAGATTAGAGTCCGCCGCACTTAACCACTACACCAAACTGAACTACGGCTTGCCCAAGGTCATCCAGCAGGTGCAAATGGAGGAGGAGCGGGGAATCAAACCCAGTTCTTCCAGATTAGAGTCCGCCGCACTTAAGAAGATTGGATTTATACCCCATGGCCCTTCACTACCCAAAGGTGTCTCAGAGGGGCTTACAGACTCCTTTCCCTTCCCCTCCCCACAACAGACACCCGGTGAGGGAGGTGGGGCTGAGAGAGTTCTTGAGAGAAACTGCTCTTTTTCAAAAACAGCTCTTGTCAGAACTAGGCTTACCCAAGGTCATCCAGCAGGTGCAAGTGGAGGAGGAGCGGGGAATCAAACCCGGTCCTCCCAGATTAGAGTCCGCCGCACTTCACCACTACACCAAAATGAGTACAGCTATCTTTTGGGCTAAGAATTTTTGAATATACAATGTGAATTATGGCAACCAATATCTTAATGAATTAGGCTTATAGTTTTTTATAATGAATAATGACCACAGTGATTTAACAATAGAACATTTATTGTAGAAAATTGATGAATCCAGAATGGGATGTGTGTGAACCAGTGAAGACACGCCTTGATGTATGTATGGAATTCAACGAATTGTGCGAAGGGATTGGCTTGGTATATTGTCTTGATGAGAAATGTAATTGTAAAATTGTATTTTGTGAAGGATTTTTGATGTTGGAGGAAGTTCTGACGAAACAGAAGATTGAATCCGGAGAATTTTGTTGCATCACCTGAAACAACAAACAGCAATTCATTATAATACTGGAAATTTGTATTTTTGTATATTTGTATATTTGTATGACTTGATTACCACTAGTTTCTTAAACAAGTATTACAATTTTGTGTGCACGCTTTGCAGTATTTTTTGCTTATCTTGGGTCATTTGTACTGCAACCCCCTTGTCTTGATGTGTTTGGCACCCAGAAATGGACACAGCCCCAGAGGTGTGGGGGGGAGAGAAACAGTGGGTCGCTGAGGTGACTCAGTCAGTGGGGTTGCCAGCTTGCTTTGTGGGAAAGGCCGCACTGGCAATACACTCAGCATCTCTCTTTCTGGTAGCTATCTCTCATCTGCCCATCAATTATCTATCTATCATCTACCCGGGGCGGATTAACCATTAAGCAGACTGCAAGGAGATCAAATCAGTCAATCTTAAAAGAAATCAACCCTGACTGTTCCCTGGAAGGCCAGATAATGAAACTGAAGCTCAAATACTTTGGCCACCCAATGAGAAGGGAGCACTCACTGGAGAAGATCCTCTTCCTGGGAAAGATTGAAGGTCAAAGAAGACGGGGACGGCAAAGGATGAGATGGTTAGACAGTGTCATGGATGCAACGAACATAAAATTTAGCAAACTTCAGAGGACGGCAGAAGACAGCAAGGCCTGGCGTGATCTGGTCCATGGGGTTGCGAAGAGTCGGACTCGACTGTGCGACTGAACAACAAAGACTAAAAGCAGGTGCTTAGGGCACCAGGGCCAAAGGGGGCACCACAAAGTTGGGGAAAGGGTGAAAAGGAAAAAAAAAACATGCAGATTTGTAAAAAGCTTGGCTTAGTTTGTACAGTATATTGTGTTATCATATGAATAAATTTTTGTATTGCTGCAACCTACATTGTATGTCTGGTCAGACAGGTCAACAACTAAAATAGACTGGGTCAGTGTGGAAAGGAGGGGGGCACCAAGACTGGTCAGTGCTGAGGGTCTTAATCCGCCCCTGCATCTATCTACCTACCCACCAAATCCAATCTCTTCTTCCTCTTCTTCATGCTATGCATGACCCCTCCCCCCAGGTACAAAAAAATCAAAGGCACAGATATAGAATGGGAGGGACTTGGCTTGACAGCAGCACATGTGAGAGGGCTCTAGGTGTTCTGGTTGATCACAAACTAAACATGAGCCTGCAGTGCGATGTGACTGTGAAAAAAGCTAATGCGATCTTAGGATGCATTAACAGAAGCATTGTGTCCAGATCACGGGAGGTGGTAGTTCCCCTCTATTCTGCTATGGTTAGGCCCACCTGGAGGACTGTGTCCAGTTTTGGGCCCCACATATTAGGAAGGATGTTGACAAGCTCGAGTGTGTCCAGAAGAGGTCAACCAGGATGGTGAGAGGGTTGGAATCCAAGTCTTATGAGGAAAGGCTGAAAGAGTTGGGTATGTTTAGCCTGGGAAAGAGAAGGCTTAGAGGGGACATGATTGCAGTCTTCAAGTATTTGAAGGGCTGTCATGTCGAAGATAGAGCAGATCTATTCTCTCTTGCTCCGGATTGCAAGACTAGATCTAACAGGTGGAAATGACAAGGGAGTCATTACCGGCTAAATATCAGGAAAAACTTCCTAACTATAAGAGTGATTCAGCAGTGGAAAGCAGTGGAACAGGCTGCCTCGGGCGGTGGTGGATGCTCCTTCGCTGGACATTTTGAAATGGAGGCTGGACGACCATCTTTTGTGTATGTTGTAGGGCTATCTTTCAGCTATACTTCTGCAAAGTGCAGGGGGTTGGACTAGATGACCTGCAAGGTTCCTTCCAACTCTAACATTCTATGATCTATCCATCTTTCTATCTGAAGGGTCAAGAAGCAACAGATCCGGATATTGGTTTAGCATAGGAACTGATTGTTTTAGCATAGGAAAAGGCGTACGACAAGGATGTATATTGTCACCCTGCTTATTTAATTTATATGCAGAGTACATCATGCGAAATGCCGGCCTGGATGAATCACAAACCGGAATTAAGATTGCCGTGAAAAACATCAACAACCTCAGATATGCAGATGATACCACTCTAATGGCTGAAAGGGAAGAGGACCTAAAGAGACTTGCTAACGA